CTCTCTCTCTCTCTCTCTCTCTCTCTCTCTCTTTTATATTTAATAATATAATTTAAGATCAAAATGAAATACAATACTTAAACAATTTGTTGGTTAACGTTTCAATATATCGCATATATTTTGCATTTTATTAATTAATTAACGAATTTTCTAACAGTTATGATATATTTATTGTTTATAACAAAATGTTTAATATTTTATACATTATTGTTTAACAGTGATTTATTGGGAAATATAGTATATATTTTCACATCATATAATCAACATAATTGCTGTATGTTTAATTTTAAAATATTATAAATATTTTATTGATTTAATTACTTATACAGTACAGTAAAGTCAAACTCATTAATTTATAAAATTCTAATATTTTTACAGATACTCAAAACTTTACAATATATCCAAATATTACATATATTGGACACAATGTTGAGTTGTTTTGCGGGTATTTTACAAATACAAAATTTGATCATTTAGCCAGAATTGAACTTTGTAAAAATGGCGCAAAGTTTACTGTTGTATTTTCTGATCAACTCAAACATGGTAAGGTTATAAAAAGGTGTTAATTGTATTTATACCAATTAATTGTTTTAATATTTATTTATTTAACAAAACATTAGAAAATAGTCATGTTAACTATTTGTACAATAAAAATACGCGCAGCCAAATAAATTTAACCATGGTAAATGTACATAAAAATACGTCGATTGAATATGGATGCTCTGTTTGGTATAGTGATGATGGACAATTATACCGTGTATATACTGAAACTACCAGACTAATTATTTCAACCGATTCAAATTTTAGATATTAATAATTTTAAATAAATAAACATTTATTGTTTTAATGACGGATTTTTGATGTTTATTTAATTTTACATTATACTTTACAATTTACATCTATTGTAAATTTAAATATCTGTTTTATTCACAAGATTAAGTGCAAATTATATGTAAATGCTATATAATCTATATTCTTATATAAAAATTAACAATATCAAACAATAATCACGTTTAAATAATAAAAGCTCAATTATATGTAGTCATAGCCTGGTTTTATTTGATAGCTATTACTGGATTATAAATTAAATATCCTAATTCTTACCATTTTTGTTACATACAGTGAATAAATGCTAAACGCGTCCAGATTTGCAAGTAAGAGAATTATTGAGAAAGTATTTTATATAAGTTTATTGTCTGTCGGATGAAAAACTCCATTTCCATGAAAAACACATACAAACGAAATAAGTGCTGACAATATGTTTATGAGACTAACTCAAGTCAAGACAACCGTCCAATGGATTAGAGTTTTTGTACGAAAATACGCGGACTATAAATACAATTCTATAGTTAACGAAAAACTGCGATAATATTCTATAAACTTTTTAAAACTGAACTTGCACGATTTTGAGTTCTTTGTATAACATGTTATCATTATTAATATTATTAATATCATTGCATTAATAATCTTAAACACATTATCTGTTATTTTTGGTTCATTTTTAAGATATCAATAAATTACATAAAACATGTGACTAGATTAATCTATTAAAATTTAATAGTTAAATGTAAACATAAATGTTTAGAATTTTGAAGTTTAATTAAAAAATAATTAAACATAAAACAGTATACTTTGAAATTTAGTTATAATAAAATTTTACTAACTTTAATTTATAGATGAATTAACTGTTTGAATGAAATTATAAGTTAAATATCTAGATTTTAAGATTCTTGGGTTAGAGTTAAATGTCTTAGTTTGTTAACAAAAAATGTAATGCCAACTATTCAGCATATACCTATTACTACTCGTTTATTTGTTACTTAAGTGTATTATGAATTAAACAAATATAATATAATAATAACGTTAATAATGCAATAATTGTAATTACATTTATAGACATATACTTTACATCAATAGACAGCTAAATTTAGCCAGCTAAATATGAACTTTACATTAACTTGCAAACTAACGTACCTAACAAATTTAATTACTATATAAATATAATATATTTATAATCATATATAAAATGTACTTTATATCAAATCAGCATCACGTTCTATCATGTTCTTACATGTTCTATTATAAACTGATGCAAAACTGATGCAAAACTGATGCAATTCTTGAAGTCTTATACTTTGATATCAGTGGCACTGAATGTAGTTTATGGACGCAGGGATGGCATCGGGAGGATATTGTATATCATGTTAAATATAAATTATGTTAAATCATTAATTTGAAATTTGTTAGTGCAAATCTCACCTGGATTCAAATTAATATAAATGGATAAAATAATAAAAAAATATTAAAGAAAAATTTGACATAATAATACTACAATAAAATGCACATCTAAATGACCGGTTTGGTTAGGTTTCCCATATTAAGTTACTTTATATGTCTGCTATTAATATGATCAACATTTTTATCAGCAATTTTAGATAAAATAAAGTATGCTTTTCAGTTGCTGTCAGTTTGTAAATATAACTCACATTTTTATATAAATATCACTCAAAATGTCTTTAATGTTAACATTTCCTGAATATTTGCGAAACCAATCGCTGAGAAAGAAGTTTATATTTACGACTACTATAAAGCAATGGGTCTGTTGTGTGACGGAGAGAAACTCAGTTTCCAGGAAAGCCAGAAACACGCGGAACACATCCGAAGGCAAGGAATTAAACAATTCATTAATATCTATAATCTAAACAAAGACCGAATCGACCGGTGCTTCAAATGGGGCGATGAGATCGAGTACGTGATCGTCCGCTTCGATCACAACAACCAAAAAGTTAGACTCAGTTTACGTTCAAAACAAATACTCGATGTAATGGATGTGAGGGAAGAGAAAGAAGGAGCGAACCGTCGAGTTCTGTGGAGACCAGAGTACGGCGAGTTTCAGATCGAGGCCACACCCGGACAGCCGTACGGATATAACAACGAACTGAATGGCGAAAACTCAATGAATAATCTGTTTAATAACGTGGAGAACAATATGAGAGAACGACGACTCGATATCAAGGCTTTACTCTATGAACACGAGGCACTCCTATGTCTTACACACCATCCGAGGTATAAATAAAAACAAATTTAAATTGATTTTTATATTGCATTATATTTAATATATGAAATAGGATTGGATGTGAGGACACAACTGTGCCCTTCACTAAAGCCGACCCATTGAACAGCGCCTCCAAAAGTATCTTCATATCCGACGCTCACATTTGTGACGCAAACCAGAGATTCTTAGTTCTCGAGCGATATTCTGTTGAACGCATCGGACATAAGGTTATCATAAATATTCCCGTCTTTAAAGACACCAAAACTGCCGACCCTTTCATCGAGACATTCAACGACAAGGAGTCTAATAGAGCGGCAAAAGTGGATTACATTTATATGGACGCAGCGTTTTTCGGCCGCACGTGTTCTTGCCTACAGGTGCTCATCAAATATCACACTAATAACTATATAAAAAAATTATAACAAATATATATTTATATTTACACATTAGGTAACAATGCAGGCGACGGACATGTATGAGGCGTTCACTCTATACGACCAGTTGGCGCCCTTAACCCCCATAATGATGGCATTGGGCGCCGCGACCCCTATATTCAGGGGTTATTTGACGGACAGAGACGGCCGATGGGATGTCATCGACTGGTCCAACGACGACCGGACCGCTGAGGAGAGGGGAGAGAAGCCATTGAAACACAACAAATTCCGGATCCATAAAAGCCGTTATTCGCCGATAAATACGTATTTGTGTGAATCAAACGCTGCATACAATGACAGTCCGATTGTCTATAATAAGGAGTATTACAATGAGATGATCAGCGCTGGCGTCCCCTCACCGCTGGCCCAACACATGGCGTATCTCTTCATTCGTGATCCGTGTGTCATATCTC